GGAGCGCGGGGGCTCCCTGCTCCCCCCGGTGGGGGCTGCCGGCGGCTGAGGGCGGCTGGTGCCCCCCCCTTGGTACGTGCTGCGTTGCTGGGGGAGCGGGTACACTGTTTCTTTTGCCCTTGTTTCTATTTAGTGCTGGTAGGTCAGAGCCTAATACGAAAGGTGCCTGGTAGCTGGGGAACCTGATAGGTGTACCGGGAAAATGATACCCGGCCAAAGAGCGACCAGCGTCTTCAGCGCTTCGTTCAAATGATGAGTCTTCCCTGTGTGTAGAAGTCTTAAATTTCAGTGTTTGTTAGCAAGTCTATCTTTAGAGCTGGGCTTCAGCAGTTCAGATGTAAAGAGAGAACTTCAGTTGTCTTTAATTCTGCTCTCACTCCTGTTCCAGCTGTGGACTGTTAATGATGCTGTAGGAGAAGATCTCTAATGAAGGTGGTGGTGGTTGGTGACAGGTTTTAGATGTGATAAATCTCTCCAGCTGTTGCACAACTGAATTTTGCTAAAGACTTGATAAGGTTTTCAGAGGCAGCTGAGTTAAATAAGTTTGGTTCCTTGCAGTATGAAGGAAATCTTAATTTCTCATGCCATAAGCAGCACCTTATTTTGTTCTGTGCCCGCTTTTGATAGCGCTAACCTTTGGAGAAAGGGAGCAAGATAAAACTTCAGTTTCTCTTCTGTGTTGCTCCCTGCCCAAGAAACCGAAACTATTATGTCATCTTTGTTTTTGCTGCCTATGAGTTGTTAAGACCTTTTTCCTCAAAGAAAAAATTGCATTCTGTTATATTGCAGTCATCTAGAAGACTGTTATGAAGTTTTATGTATGACTTTCTCATTTGCTTTTTTGTTGTTTCTATAGTGCTTTCCAAGAGCCTTCGTTTTTGTCAAAGATGTAGTTATATCCTGCAGCGTGTTCCCACTTTACATGGCTTTGTTTTCGCTGAGCTATTGATAGTGTTGTTTCCAGTGCAAATTTAAAAAAAATGCACCTTTTTTATCCAATCATAAATAGACATTGATATGGCTATAAACAGTAATTATTTTTAAAGAGTTCTTTGGGTTTCATTTGCTTAGCAAGTGAAAGAATTTTACCTTTCCTTCCTTAAAGGTGTTGTGCCCTTAATTTTGAAAGATCTGCTAGGTGCATCCATGTGGTTTTTTTGTGTCAAGTGAGATCATGCGTTTATGGTTTATTGCCTTTTCTCATTGAGAGGTTTTATTAGTGGTCACTCTGGTTTCTTAGTTAGGATGGGATTTCACAAAAAGTGGTTGAATCATTTTTAGTGATGATAAATATGTTTTGCAGAATTCATATATTCTGCTGACAAAGCATAAACTAAAGCTATGCTTTGTTGAGAAAGATACGTTAAACAACTGCAAATCGTTTCCTTTCATATCATATGAAAAATAGAGAGTGTTGCTTCATCAGTTCTTCAGTCTTCAAGGGCTGATTTGACCTCTTATTAAAACAGTAACAGAAATCTTCCTGCGAACAGGTATGGTCCTGTTCACATGGAAAATAACATATTCTTTTCATGTTTTCATACCTATGAAAAGCAGGTTGGGGAGCGCCGTACTTTCTCACATTCCTCCTTGTGCTCACGTGCTTCTTTCTTTTTCATCTTTTGCTTTTATTGAAGTTTCTAGTACACTTCCTTGTCTGAGGTACGGTACAGTGCTTGAGAAAATATCACTCTGTTTTTGTTGGACAGTTCCTGTCCCTTTCACTTCTACAAGCAGAATGGCAGATAGAAAACGTTAATGGTTAAGCACTGTAAAGCAAACAGTCTAAGACAGATCACTTTGCACTCAAGGTAAACTTCTAATGCGGGGAGAAAAAAACCCTTTTTCTAATGATAATGCTTTTGAGGTCTCAGTTGTGTTGTACAAGGCTTTATATAAATATGAAACAAACTTGAATTTTGTTACAAAGTCCTTGCATTTAGAATAAAAGAGAATACAACAATGTGATAGTGGGTGTGGGAGAGAGGTAAGCTGTCATTTGAAATCAGTGGCTGCAGAAAGAAGGAAGAGGACAGCAGAAAGCTGTTGTTTTGGTTTTGTCATCAAGAATCAGTGCAGAAAAGGGATCTGCAAGGTAACTGAAGATGAGGTTTGGACTGCAGATAGGGTCCTAATCTGGAAGGAGAAGCACAGTTGCTTTGTTAAGAAAACAAGAGTTCTGGAAGGATTTGTAGTGCAGAAAGCTGTTGCCGCTGGATGACTTTCCATTGCAAGAACAGCCACACGCAAGTGTTGGGAATGTCCTGGGACAATATAGCTCTGTGTTTTGGAAAGCAGAGAATGATATAAAATATGTAGAAAGGTCTTAAAGAAACATATATTATTCTTGCTGTTCTCACACTAGTATCTTATTTGAAACTTGAAGAGAGAAACTTGCAAAACAAGTGAAAGTGTAGCCTTGAAATCAGTGGTAAACTTCCTTGCTGTATGGAAGAAGATGAAGGTAGTGTGTTCGTAGTTCTTAAGTGTAGACCAGCATTTCGATGCTCCAGTTGTGCATCATTCAAAAATCTGTCCATTTTCAGAAATAAAGTTCACAGTGAAATGCCTTGAAGTTTTCATATCTCAAGTATTTTTGATAGGAAACCACCTTTGGTTTAAAGCTCTTAATTATCTTGCTGTGTATATGTAAAATAAGATGGCTGTAGAACGCTGCTTGTGTTTTGGAAGCCAGAAGATACCCGTAACACGTACCAAAAGTGATGCCACTGGCAGAGGTGTTCTGTTATGCATGGGGCAGGGCCAGCGGGAGCTGTTGCCGAGAAGGCTGGTAAGGCAGGAATTTGCATCCCAGTCTGTCACCAGCTGTATGAAAAAAGCAAAGAACAGTGATGCCCAAGTTGTTTTGGGCATCAAGAAGAAAGTTATAGGATTAGTTGAACTTTACATCTTGTGGAGCTGTGTAGCTATATTAGATTGCAACTCATAATGTATTGAAGAGGGCTTGGTCGTTGATGGATATTGTTATGCCTATCTCCTTCCACTACAACACCTTCTTTTCAGTTTGTAACTTCTAAAAAGTTGTTTTTCCTGCCAAAGTCTGTCTCGGAATGAAATTTAAGTAAAGTTTTCATAAAAGTGCCGTAGCTGGTGTTTTTAGAAGATGTATTTTCTCTGTGCTTTGGAATGAGAGCTTCAATTTGTTAAGTGGATGAATGTGGTATGTGATTTGCTATTCCGTAGAAGAAAATCCTCTGTTTATTCAAGGTAAGGCTGTTGAGGAAAAAAAAAAAATTTCATCTGATGCTATGCTTTTTATAGATGTACTAGAAATTGACAGGTAAGCTCTTTAAAGACAGTCAGCGTTAAACATGCAAGTTGCTAGGTGTAAGGAGGATCATGTTTTTGTTATTCAAGTTACTAAGGGTGTGGATTCAGGTGCTATGGTGAGCTGTTCTACCAGATGCTAAAAGAGAGGAGAATCCTTCCTTCTTGCCCTCCATTGTGCTGGCTCTGGCCTTTCCATGAACAAATAAAATTTGTTAATATAACAGAAAAACGCTAGTTTTGGTGGCAGTGTGTTGAACTAGCAATTAATTTGTTGCTCATAGAGTAGCAGATCAGATAGTGTGATTGCAGCCTTTAAAAAAAAAAAAAAGTAGTTGTTACTGGCCAAAAATGTTGACAGTGGGGCTGCAGAGACTGTAAACAAGGTACTGGTGGGTTCTCCTCTGGAATACTTAGTACAGCTGAGGTCAATCCCATTTAAGAAAGATGAGTTTAAGCTAGAAGGGTTGTGAAGATTTACTGGGACAATGAAAGAGGCTGGTTAAGAAAAGAAACTGACGGGTTGGCTTTGTTGGCCTTGCAGAATGAAGCTAGAAGGCAATGATGATGCTTTCTCCACTATATCAGAAAAGTAAACTCTGACGTGTAATAAGAGCTCCTGGCATAAAAATATTTCTGTAGGAATTGCAGAATTACATCATTTTAATTTTATTGATATCTTCTGCGTGGGCATTTATGTATTACTCTCTTAAGAGATAATATTTATGCTTTTTTTCTTCAGAAACCAGTCCATTACAGAGTTCTTCAAACCAGTTGTAAAACAAGGTAAATATCTGTCTTTTTTTAGTAGAAGATGTTTATGTATGAGTTTTATATAAGAACGCAGAAGCTTACTCCAGTCTCATTCGAAACTCAAACAGCTATGTAACAAGTACAGCTTACCAAATACGTCAAAAGAAACAATTAAGATAATTTTATATGAAAAAGAATCTCCTTAAATGGGGATGGTTATTAGTTAAAATTGTTCTCTCTCATGTTTGAGCTAGATTGTTTATAACAACTGAAGCTGTGGCATAGATCATGCGAGTCTTATCTGATGTGAAATAAGTTGTGTAGTGCTACTGAACATCAAGTGTGATTAAATTCATTTTTGGATTGTGTGTATGAGAGAGAGAGAGAGAGAGAGGTAGAATATCAAGTAATAATGTCCAGTTGGGAAATTATTCTCTTCAGTATTACGATTGTGAATAATTCATCTTTTCTTCTCTCAGACCTTGGCCGTAGAGACCGGCCTATGTTGTATTCCTCAGACAGAGGAAATGTAAAAGATGGAGGAATCGGACTGTCAGCTTTATGTGCTGAACGATTTGAAAAGAAAGTATCCTCTCCGAAGCAAATTAGAAGAAAAAAGATGCCAGTCCAAACACCGAACATAAGTCCTGGGCTAGATGCCTTTCGAAGAGGAGTTAAGGGAAAAAAGGACAGCGTAAACCTGTTGGAGAACAGCAGAGCGTGCAGGGCATTGAGTTCAGTATATCCACAAGTTGTGATTCAAAAACTCCTCGTAACTGCGGGATCTCCAAGCTGTTTGTTGGCCAAAAAGGATAAAACTGTCAAGCAAGAACAGGGAAGAAATGAGAAGTGCCCGGGTGTAACAAGAACACCATTGTCTTGTGGAAATAGTTGGGAACAGAAGACTGACTGTATGGATCTGGAAGAGGCCAGTTCAGACTCTGACAAATGGGTTTCATCATCAGAAGCTGATACTCGAAAAACTTGTGCTAGAAATAATGGCAATGTGAGCAACACATCTCTGTGTCAAAACCCGGGGCGTTCTGTGAAATTGCCTTGTGCTCCAAGTGACTCTCAATTTAGGCGCTCGCTAGAAGCCCTCTGCAGAGAAAGAAAGCAGAAAAAACATAGAATGAAACAATCTAAGCCACATCCAGTAAAACCATTCTCAGGAGCGAGTTTATCACATCAGGTATGCAGTAAAGCCATTCTCAGGAACGAGTTTATCACATCAGATATGCTTAAAAGGGTCATTAAGGCTTCAAATCTGTGACACCTTTTTTTTAAGGCAGGGTAAGATTCTTGCCAGATATAACAGCAGTTTACATTCTTTTCTCTTTGTAACTTTTAGGTCATGCTTGGCTAAGCTGATAAACTGTTTTACACTAAATGAGAAATCCTGGCTTGAAAGCAGTCAATTCAAGATACTTAGGTTGAGTTAGGTTTACTGTAAAGCTGTTTTATCACAGTTTGCTTTGTGCCTGGCTTTTTTTTTTTTTTTGGATATCTATTTGTGTAGGTCTTGTAACAACACTTAAGTACTTGTCTACAGTAGCTACTCTGTAAATTAGCTGGAAGGACAGTAGATTTAAACAGCTGGAAATCTCTAATTTAATACCTATCTATTCCTATTGAAGAGTCAAACTGTGTAAAGATAAAATAAAACAAAATGCCCTTGCATAGACAGCAGCTGCGTAAAGCTTACCAGTCGGCTCTTTTTAAGAGCTGCTGTCACCTTTGACGCCCTGTTCTGTGTAGAGGGCCTGATGGCGGGTTAATCCCAACTAAGTTAGGCCTGCTTCTATATCCCAGTCTCCCTATCTTGCCCTACCAAGGTGACTATGACCAGGCCCCTCTTTTTGCAATCCCTGGTGCTTGCGCAACTGAGCGGTGAGCCAGCACGTGGTTTAGTATATGCTAAGAATGTCATTCAATGAAAATGCCGCCATCACCACCCCCAGACACACACACGAGATTTAGAATAATTGCATTGCATTTAACAAACTGCCATGTGTGCTGGATACTTTATGAGTTTTGACAGACTAAGTGTGATAGTTGATGCTTCCTTTGCTTAACAGGAAGTTTTAAGTGCAGTTAGAAAATTGTATCAACAGTTTCTGGTCACTCTAGGATGAATGATGTTCTTCCTGTTCATTGTATAAGCTTTCCTGCATCCTCAGCTGGTTCAGCTCTGGATGAGTTGTTTCACATATTGAGATAAAAAAGCTCTCCTTCAACTTAACAGTTGATTTAGCCCTTCAGCCAACTCTGATTTTATCAGCTAACTTGTGGACTTTCGCCAAATGTGCTGGTTTGCCTTTCTTTAAATTTTTTTACCAAATAGAAAAACAGTTGAAAATCTTTTTGTTAAATCTATTGTTATAGATTGTAATGGATTGTGATCTTTATAAATTGACTTTCAAATTAAAAGCATTTTTTTTTTTAATTTAAAATGAACCATTTAAAGAAATGGCTAACTTCCATTGGTCTTAGATAAGGTCATCTTCAGTGGAACAACATAAGCTCTCTGTATAGCTGTCTCGCTAAGAATTTTCTTTGGTAGGGACTGGGTAAGTGCTTTGATAATTCCTCTCTCTTGATGGTAAACTTGAATGCCATGACAGTTCTATTGATGGAAATCAATGCAAGCATGACAATGCAATGAAATTAAATGGCAACTGTATTGCAGAGAAAATGTTTTATTACAAATAATCATGTTTCCTCATAATGCAGTTTAGGGAACAGCAGTGATGCAATTTTCCTGCCTGAGAGTTTTCCACTAGTTAAAGTTGTGGTTAGCAGTTCAAATTTGTACACTTAAGCTGCGGTACTTGGATGGAGGTGGGGATGGTCCTATTAAGTACACTGTATTTCATTCTGGGTTGAATTATTTACTTTCTTGCTTTCCCAACCAAGCAGTTACTTTAAGCCAACTGCTTTTAGTTGGTTACTTGCAGGGAAGATGATTATGTGTGCCTCTAAAAACATGTTAGGAATGGCATATAAAAGGTTGGTTAGTTTGTATTTCCTTTTCTGCTGAGTGCCACCCCACCCCCATATTTCCTTGTCTGTGGTTACTATCTTTGTTATCCGTGTTCCTCATGCCTGGTTTGAGGAAAGCCAGCTGGGCCATGTCTCTCGGATACCTCAGGGAGGAAAGAACCTAATTGCATTAACTATCAATGAAGGTGGAGAGGTTTGGAGCGAGAGGCAGATCTGAAGAAAAGGTATAAAATCAGGGTCTGGGGCAGTCCTTTTGTTGAGCTCTTTGTAGCTGTGTTTTAAGTTTATCCTGAAATGAAGTATGTTACGTTGGGGGTGGGGTGAGGGGTGGAACAGTCTGTGCTGGACTCAACACTTGACACAGGACAACATCCTGCTTTTAAATTATGCAGCTAACTTTTTATCTCCTCCATCTTTCTTTTTAGGGAAATGGATGTCCCCTGAGAAAAAGATCACATTCTGCTTCATGGGAGACTGCCTCAGGTAGAAGCAGTGCCGATAATACGGAATTAATCAATCGGCTTCATCACTTAATGTCTCTTTTTTTAATGTGTTTTTTCTCTTGAAGTTACATTTTGCTGCTACGTGTATGTAGCTGAACTAGTTGAACTCTTTATGTTTAAAGTGTATTATGACAGTCACGAGCAAAGAAAATAAAGTTGAAAGTGACCTTATAAAGAGGATTATTTTGGTAATGTGATTCAGGTGACTAGAACAGTTTTCATATGATTTTAGAGGTTTGAACTGTAGTGACAATAGTTAAAAGTAGTTTATGGTTAATTAGCAGAAATCTGACTTTTCAGAATTGATCTGATACAAGTCTGTTGTGAAGAATAAATCCGGTTAAACTCTCTCCCAAAAATATCTTCTGCTTTCTAGTGATGAGTAGTTCTAGTTTATGGGCAAGCCTAGAAAGGTTTAAAAGTATTTGCGATTTTAATGAAAAACAGATGTTAAATAATTTAATGAGAAGTGATCTTTGTTCTTTCTTTTTTTGTCTGTCAAATCTGTTATAGTTCTGACTGGTTTTATAAAAATTGCAGTGGTTTACTGTTTTTTAACACTTTCCATAGATGACCCATCTCAGTCAAAGCATATTTCAAAACCTGAGGCATCTTCTCCAAATCTACTGAGACTGTCATCTGAAAAAGCCACCGTTATGCGGAAAAGCCAGTCTTTTCCATCACTCTGCCTTAGTTCGAAGATGTCTTCTGGGCCATCAAAACGAAAAGACTTTTCTGGAAAAAGGAAACGCACTGCCGTGAGTTCGGATGCAAACAGTTCAAATCCATCTGTGATAACAAGTTTGAATGACCCTCGTTTTAGTAGATCGTCTGAACAATGCGGAAATAGGAAGTCTGACTTTGTAAAAAAGAGCCTCTTCAAGTCTCCATGTAATGGTATTGTGCAGCTAATGGATGCTGCTGCTCTACCAAGACATGACTCTGTCCTTTCAGAGGAATATCTTGACTCAAGCCGTGAAAATGAGAAAAATAATTCCTCCTCGATGGGTTTGTCATCTTCGTATTCTGCACACAGTCCTAATAAAAATAACCACGTTTCTGTTGTGGATGCCAAAGAGAATCAATTGCAGGTGACCCACTCACATTTTTTCTTGGAAAAGTCCCTTCCTCTTTCTCAGGAAAAACGTACTGTGTTGCCTTCTCTCCACCAAACAAACACTGTATTCACAAAAGACGTGAAATCTCATCTTCAGAATGCTGGTTTGTCTCAGGTGTTGGATGCTATGAAGCAGCAAGATGGAAAAAGACTAGAAAGACCTGCACTTGATGAAGCTGATAGTACTGAACTCAGCAAGAGTTTACCAAAAACAAAAGGAAAAGCGTTAGAAAATACTTTCAGTTTTCATTCAGTGGAAGGTTCTGGGAAACTTGCACTCTCAAAAGAGACTAGTAAAACTACTCCTCATTCATTACCTTTTAAAGAAGGGTGTGTAGAAAGTGGCCAGATGTCTTCACAGCTCTCAGGAGAGGTGAAAGTTGAAATTACCTGTATAGAGACATCTAAGTTGAATAGCAATTCAAAGAGCAGCATTGATAGTGAAGATGAGAGTTTGGAATGCGATCTTGATGACGACGACGACGAAGAAATATTCTTGCCGCTACAGGAAATTCTGTCTTCAAGTCCCCAACCACAGGTGGGAACCGTGGAAGGAGATTGTCTTGAGAATCTTTCGCAGGACACCATGAATCCATCACTGAAGCTTCCTGTAAGTGGCAAAAAAAACCCCAAAAATGCGTCACATCAGCTTTGTTACGTTGTGGTTTGGTGATTTGCTTTTTTCACTTCTTTTTTTTTTTTTTTTTTGGTAAATTTTAAATACATGAAAACTGAGGAGTATTTGCCTTCAAAACTGGTTACTCACGTTACTTAAGGGTCCTATAGTGTACAGTGCAATAATATAGCTCAGAGAAAAGGTGCTTGTTATTACACTTAATCTTGGAATGGCCGAATGATGATTCATGCAATCAAGTTACGGTAGCTGTATTCCTTCTAGTGGTTTTCAGGAGTTTTATTTTTGTGCTTTCCCTTTAAAGAAAAATTAGATGATTAGATTTAGATCATTTAGATGATGTGTGGGATTTAATGCTTTCATCTTTCTGATCAGGCAATATTTTTGAGTTGAAGTTAACTAGAGGAGTTTGATCTGGCTGTTAGGAGCTCTCTGTTCTAGGCTCAAGTTATTTATCCTTGACAATGATTTGTGCTTCCCAAAATCTGAGTTCTTGATCTATAAGTATGGTATTTTCATTGAAGCCTAACTACTGGAGTTTGAATTTCATGGAAATTGAAATACTTTAAAAAGTATTTCAAACAGTTGAATGCCTTCTCCTGCTTGCAAGTGATGGATGGTAGAAGCATTTGAATAGAGCGTTTTTAAAAGTTAGCTATTTGTTCAATAACGGTATGGCAAAACAGTTGCTATTTTAAAGTTTTGTGGTAAACTATGGTTTAATTAGTGGTTAATTTGGGAAGTGCTGCGCTAGAACTTAGTGTAACGTTCCTAACAAAGCTGATGCAGGTTGGAAGTGAATGCATTTGTGTAAAATCTTTCAGAATAAAAAAATTAAGCTGCAGTTTGCAGAATAACTGTGTAAATACTCTTGCCCTTCTCTTCTCCCTTTTTTAAATCCCTAAAATAGTTTATTTGGTTGACTGAATTTCTTTTGAAAGTATCTCCATAGGTAGATGTTGAGCAGCCATAATTATCTTATCTGTCCTCACCATTAATTATGCAGGCACGTTATAGGTGAGAAATTTGTGGTCATGTGGATGTTCGCTGATCTGAACTAGCATGGCTATACAGTTAGTGGTTAAGGCTGATAAACAGATGCAGCCTAGATTTATTTAGCCTAGGGGCATGTATGTGGCCACAAACATTTGACCTACCCTGTTTCTGTGTAACTATGACTAAGAAAGGCAAACAGTTTAAAAACTGTCCCAGAATTTCCACAACTATGGCTTTTGCCTGTACTATCGTTCACCTTTTTCTTTGTAAGAAGGGGCATATGTGCAAGTTGGAGCAAACTGTGCCTCTTCAGTTGTACAGAAGTCATTTTAGGCATATTAGCCAGGTACATAATTAAGGTGAGAGGGCTTTAACTTTCTCCACAAGAAATTGGTCTTTCAGTATATGAAGTTGAGCGTGAGGCTTGTTGCCTTGCAAAGGCACTGAAGGATGTGTTTGCGTCTTGTGAATGTTGTCCCTTGTTAAGTCAGATGATAAACACTTTGGGGCGTTTTGTGGCATTTGGAAAATGCCTCTGTATGCCACAAATTAATGCTATATCAACTGGTTTTGTTTTTTTAGTAGCTGATGGACACTAACTTCTTAAACTAACTTCTGTTACTTCTGGGTAATAGAAAAACCCCAGTAAGAGCATGTGCTCGTGTTTCATTGTGTCCTTCCTCAGTAAAGGAGCTCATAAGAAGAAACTGTAACCCTAGTAAGTGTTTCCACTTAAAGAAGATGGTGTCAGAAGGTCGCTGTTTTTCCAAAGAATTGAAACCTAGCTGTAAAAGGTTGCAAGCCTATTTTGTTTGCTACTGGCTGAATAAAACACTGGCTACTGAAAATTAGGCTAATTGTGCTAGCAGATAAGACTCTTTTTTTAAACTATATTTACTAGCTTTTTAACTTGGTGCTGTATTAGAATTTGATGAAAAGCTTTGTTTTGTCTGATTTTTGAGGTGATTTGGCAAACACTGTAGTGCTTTGCTCCCTAGGGAATGGTGAAACTACCAAAGATGTATTGAATTATTTTGGGAGTTTGTTGTCCCATGCACAAGAATGAGGATTTCTGGGGTCTCAGTGGATTAAAAATAGCAAAGCTGTGATGTAAAAGGCGTCTAATGCTAATGCTATTCATGAGGGTTAGCTGGAGATCTGCAGCAGGGAGAGAGGCTGTGGTTTGCTTTGCTGTTCAGATCCGGTCTGAAGTACAGCAGAGCCCTGATCTTTGGGTGATGTTTACAGTGTTATAGAGCTAGAAATAGCAAATAATATCCAAAGGTCCAAGTACTGCTTTCAAAAGTGGCTTTCCAGTTTATGGTCAGGCTTTGAAAGTATTCAGGCAGTTGATTTCTAAGTGTAATTGCTGCGAGAGGTTTGACCATTACATCATTCTCAAAGGACTGAGAAATCTAAACTGTGAATCATCCTGTTTTTCAGGGTCTCCTTAGCATTTTTACTTGCAGGTGAAATATCATTAAAATAGGAAGGAGTTAATATAGTAATGATGTTTATTGTCTAGTAGTGAATCAATTGATAGCTTTTCATGTATGTTATTTTTTTAATAACTTACTATTTAATTTACAGTTTTCTAAGCCTCCTGTCGTTAGCCAGGTGTCATATGTGAACAGCTTAGAGCATCTCTTGAAGGAGAAAGAAGAATCTAAAAGGTCAGTTCTTTAAAGGTGCTTTAAAAAAATTGAGATGGAGTTGTGGAATCTTAGATGTACCTTGTCTTCCAAAAACTGGCTGTAGTTTGGATAGCAGCAAGCTGAACTTTGCTTGCCAGTGTCACCAGCATACATCTCACTGGACCTGCAAGGGCTCCTTAAGTGTAAAAGCTGATTGATAGTCTCCCAGCAAGCAATAATGAGTGACTGGTGATACATCTACCTGCCCCTTAAGAACTGGACTGAATTTACTGATGCCTTTGTTGCAGGTCACTGAGCCAGCTAACAGCTGCTGGTCAGGCATGAAGTAAAAGTATTTGCGTAGACAGACTACATTAGTTCCTTCAAAGCCTTTTGTAGGTCAACTTTGGTTTCCAAAGTTGTTTCGACCGTCTGTCGGTATCTGAGTAGTTAAGCAGTTTAGAGGACAGAACTAGTTTTCTTGCAAGAGATCTTTCTAATAGAAGACATAATGTGGTATACATGCTAAGGTCAGTAGGTAGCGATGAGTATATGTGCTGTTGAATCTGACCCTTGTGATTATGGGCTGACTGACTGTGGAACAGTGAACACTCATTCATAAAAGTGATATTATTTGGCAAATAAAATATTGATGTGAAGTTTAAAAAAAATGCGATCAGAAGATTGAAAGTTAGGTGTAATTACAGTAACTTTTTCAGAAGTTGGTTGAATTATTTGTCTCTGACAAACTAGAGATTGAACGTACTGTTGGCAATTCTTTAGGCATTGGGAAACATCCACTTAGTACCTTGGTATGAGAAACAAGAAGCTTGTTTTTTTTGTACAGTTGCAATGTCTCGCTTGTTTTTGCCGTGCACGGTTGGCTACTGACTCCTGGTTTCACATTCAGAATTTGAATTTTATTGTCTTCTGTTGTAGATGCTGAATGGTAATGATATGTTCTGCTGTTATTCTTATTGCAGGGTAGATGAACTAGAAAAGCAGTTACAGGAGGACATACAGGGAGCAGAAACGAATTCTTCAGATGGAGAGGATGAGGATGCCAATGCAGACTGGGAGATCTCAGAAGAACACAGGTCCTTCCTACTCTGAAACCACTTCAGTCTAGTTCTTCGCTTTCTTTTTAGACTTTTTTCTAATCTTTATCTCATTCTATCTGTTGTTGTAAATATGTCTGATATGAACCACTGTATTGTCATCTTTTTTTATCAGTGTCTAGGGTATTTTCTTGGCAGTTAACTATATTTTAATCTAATGCAACTTTCCCATGTCTGGTGTGTTCATCATTGAAAATAACTATCTCAAACAGCAAATAAGCCTCTTGTTATATTCAGGATTGCTTTTATGAATTTAAATTACAGGGCATTTATACAGAGATTTTCAATAACAGCTCATGCCATACCTGACTATCACCCTGGAGAAGATATATTTGACTTAGCAACGTCTGGAAAAATCTTCAAGCAGCATAACCTTGACTTGAGGAATTTTTATTTCGTACCACAAAACCCTATAGAAAAACTCCTCCTTAGGTAAGAATATCCTTCTTCACGCTGTTGTGTGTGTTCACTGTCAGCGTTAGCAGTTTTTAAGATGCAATAATGCCTTTGCACGGAAATGAGCTGTCTTACTAGTTGGGCAAGATTGAATCCCTTTTCCAGGAATTCTCCTTTCCAGGTTACAAACAGTGAATTGTTACTCAAAACTTCCTCCCTCCTCAAGAATTCTTGAAAAACCACTTACGGTCTTAAATAAGACATGAGGAAGAAAACAGGTGTTGTGGCCTCCTCTGTATTTCTACTGTGGTGAGGTATCATTGATCAGCTGTGGAAGATAAGTCACAGATAACCTCCACAGAGTTTACTGTCGCATTGTGTCTGCTGAAGGACTTTTACGTGCCTTGTCCTGTATAGGCCTGGGACTTAGGAGTCTACCTAACGAGGACTGCAGAAAGTCACAATTTCTAGCATCTATTGGATTCGGTCACTGAGTTTAAAAACCCCTGGGCGTGTGGATATACACAACCGTTACGTAACTAGTAAGGATTTGTATTGCATATTTATGAGGCTATAGGGTTACAAATAGTTGGACAAATTCTTGCCTAATATCACAAGCGTAAACCCTGAAAAATTCCATTGTTGTTTTTTTTTTTTTTTTAGTGGAGTTTTATGTCGAAGCTACATCAGTGGAACTGAGAGAATTCATGTAATCTTAAGGGATTCTGTATGCATGTGTGTATGTGCTGTTGTGAGTGTGAAAGGGAAGAGTGGTTCCTCCTTGTCTCTAGAGGAAGTGATGTTTGTGATTTACTCCGTTACCCTCAGGCCTCTTTATTAGTGTGGTTTGAAGATCACGAGGATATAAAGTTCAGCAAGTATCTTGTAAATCAGCGGCTAGAGGAAGGAGAACTAAATGAGTTGTCCCTCGCAAAAGACAGTTACGATTTAATTGCTTATGCATTCTGAAGCCAGCCAGCTGCCCAGCTGACACATACTCGCTGTCCAATTTTGACACGTCCTGGAAGCCACTATATCAACTGCCACTTGCTCAGTCAAACAGATGGATGATATATGGAAAAGTGAGGAGGTATCTGTTTTAATAGATATTGAGGACAGAGGAGGCTAAAGCAGGGTATGTGGGAAATTGGGTTTCATTAGTTCAGCTGTTTATGGCATAACTTTCTAATGGAGACTGAGATTAAAAGAACTTAGTACCAAAAAAAGTAGATAGTCTGCTCTTCTATTGCTTTTTCGCCTGACAGATTTACACAGCAAAATTAAACTGAACCTTTTTAATTGTTTTGTTTTGCCTCTAGATTCCTTATTTAAGAGATTATTTGAAAATTTCCCACAAAGTGTTTTTTTTTTTTTTTTCCTTTTTCTAAATGAGTTGATAAAGATCAATGGATAGCAAATAAGCTTATTCACTGGTCTGAGCCTAGGAATCCATGTGTGTAGACAGGTGAAATGATTCATGCTACAGTAGTGTAAATCAATGTTTTCTTAAGCTGTTATTACCTAATAGTACAAATATTTCCAAATGATATGGTATGACATTCTAGAGAAAAAGACAGTTGGTTCTAAACTTAGTCTTTTAAAGATGTTGCCATGAATAAGGTATAATTACTCTCCTATTTTTGTCAAGAGCTTAAGAATAACGTCTGTTACAGACGTTCAGGTCTCTTTTGCTGTTGGTGATGATCTGAGGTTGGGGAAGTTCGTATGCTTTTGTAAAAGTGCTGACTGAACCACTAATAGATTCTCTCCTCTCCCCCCTCCTTCTGTCTTTGTCTTACAGTTCTGGTGCAACACAGCAGCTTTCTTTGGCTATTCATGGTTTTCTAAGTTCTGCTTACAGTTGTATCTTGTGTCCCATACCAATTCTAAAGTGGCTTTTCCAGGTAAGACCTCTACTATTCCTGAAGTTCAACTCTATTTGGCTATTAGAGTCTTCCTGGAAGCCAGTTGTAGCAGAACTAATCGGGACGAATTTGTGCTTCTGTTGCGCTGCATTAGTAACAATTTAATCCTCAAATATTTATTTTGAGGTTCCTATTCTCCAATCTGAAATACTTTGATTGTTCCTCTTTTGATAAAACACTAGGGATGGTTTTCTCCTCCCTGTCTGAGTGATTCCAAAGTTGCATGTCCCTGTCCATCATCATACGTGGTACTTCAACTGGAAAGGACACAGTGCTTGCTAGGTGAGAAGAGATTTCGGAGTGTTAATAGTGGGCCAAATCACAGGAATGTTGCGTTTTTTAAGGTTGGAAGGAAATTAAATTATGTGCTACAGTATACGAAAGTGTCACCACTACATGTATCACCTTCTAAATCATCAAAGATACCTGCAGTACCAGATAATTTTTGTCTAGAAAAGGTCGTTGTGCATCATAGCTCAGGAGAAGTTCAAAGTCACTCTCGGAGGAAATGCCGTGGCTGTCTGCTTTCTAGAGGTCTGTGGCAGTTTGAATCCCCAGGGAATTTAGATTGTTCTGTCATTTCTTTATGAAAATGCACCTTTCCTACCTCTAGTCCATTATTACTTCCCACATTCTAACTGTGCCCGAAGTGGAAAAAGTAAAGCTGGACCGCCTGTGAAATTGCAGCCTAAGTCTGCTGACTGGCTTTGTGCTTTGGCCAAAAGAGAAATGTTTTGCTCTTCCATCTCCTTCCCTCCTGCTAGGACCAGATCATCTTCTTGTGTGAGTCCTGGTGTTCCTCAGATAAGGAGAAGTTGCGAGCTGGTTCAGTTTGCTCACAGAACAGAATACTGTCCGATGCTTGTTGGGGTAGGAAAAGAAGGGTTTCTGCTGGGCTAGTGAAGTGCGTCTGGAAACCTGAAGTGCATTTCATAGTCGTATTTTTGTAGTTCTGTGTACGAATAAGAATTAATTATTTCAGTTTAGTATTGCATGTATTCATGTTGCCCATGAGTAGAAAGTCAACTCTCAATTGCCCCCGCTCCTGGTTAAGTGGGGGATTATGTTCCATTTGATCGTGGATGAAAATGGATTCCTGAAGGATATGTGATCTCTTACTCCCCTGTACCTTCTCAGAAACAAACAAATTCAGTATGGGATTGCAACATTCTGATCTTGAAAGTAATTACGACTTAAGTATTCCTACAATTTGTGCACAGCGTGGAGTAATCCCTGTTCACCATATTCTCTTCTCCATGCTGCATCTTGCTCTTAGAGGCTTTGGTATTTATTTTCTGTTAGTGTTTCTCTTTCTGTTGTACCAAAGAGTTGGTGTATTTTATTAATTTAAAAAAAGATACTATCATGTAACTTGGCGTTTGACGTGTGGCTTCTTTTCTCTCAACAGATGATGTCTGTTCATCCTGACTATTGTGTTTCCACCCAGATACTAGACAAATTGATAGAAATAACACTAAAAAATGGTGAGTCTTTGAAGAATAGAAAACTGACCAACTAAACAAAGGCATTTTCCTTCTCTTAAGTATGGAAAGGTGATGGGGAGCAGGGAAAAGGCATTGGCTCCGTTCTATGAATCTGGAATGATTTCAGTTTCTTCTATAGTAGTGGGCGTATGCTAGGAGTTGGTCTTCACTGAGTATATTCAAGCTGTACCTCAGGCTGTGGTCTTGGCATGTATTTGCAAAGCAGTACACCAGTTACAGAGCCTTTTAAGCACACTTTTGTTCTTGCACAGATGGAAATAACCTTAAGAGGAGCCCAGTCTGGTTGCTCAAAAGTTTACTCTCCTTTCCTCCCTGTCTTCTGCTTTGGAAGTGACAGGCTTTCATTTTGTAGCTTAAGAACTACAGGATGATATTCACATAGTCCTACCCAGTGTGTAGTTCTACATAGTTTTCTTTCTGGGTACATGGCAAAAGTGAAAAGAATCGTATGCCTGCATAGAAACACTTTCAAGGGTCTACTTCAGCCCAGACTACTGTTCTTTGTTCCTTGTTTTTTGCCTTCTTTCATCTGTATTCTCAAAGACTTCTCCAGTACCAGTTGCTTTTTGTGTTCTCCATGTCTTCCCTTCATTCAGATCCATCAAAAGTCACTACTTCATTTATGCCTGCCAGTTAACTTTGTTAAAGTAATGCAGTTCACTTGAAGTACTTGATCAGGTCCGTCCAAATTATTCCATGTATTTGAATCTTGTTGTGCAGTAGGACCGTGAGCTGATATGAGAGGGAATGTAGCCGCCTTTATTTTGTGCTTTGCTGGCAGCAGGCTTGTTTCTGAGTGAACAGTTCAAGCTGATCAATGAGCACTCTGAGAATTAAGGCTGGGAGAGATCTCAGCAGATCCTCTGACCTTTCCATCTCCCTCACAGCAGGATCAAATAGGCTACAGTTGCTCCTGAAAAGTTTGTCTAACCACTTTAAAACTGCCAACTGTGACATCTCCAAACAAGTCTTAGACGCTGTGTTCCTGTGCCTGAGGATGAATCTTTTTTTTTTTTTTCTTGAATCGAACATTGAGATCTGAACCTATAGTGTCGAGTGTTACATTCCATTACATTTCTTTTTTCTTAAAGACTTAAGACACTAAAATTGACCCAATTCAGAATTCCAGTGACTTCTGTCATTGTTTGGAGAACACTGCATCTAGTTTCATGTCACCTTTCTAGTTTAGCATCCTCTGAGTATCCTCTATATAGTTTGCAGACATATTCGGATGCGATTCATGACATAAACAAGTGCTTTTTGCAAGGAGCATTGTTGCTTTTTCCTGTCAAATGAGTGAATTCCATCTATTTAACACTTCTATTTTAGAAGCTCTGCCTGTTTCCAAATCTTATTTACCGCTCCTTCCAGACCTATTGTGATAATGCCCTCTTACCTGTGCCTACACAGAGCAGTAATTTGCGTTCTGTTAAAAGTAAATCTTGCCTCTTTGCTTATGGTACTGTCTGTGATGAAAGAGTGCTATGAGGGGACATATGTGGAACTTGAAATAATTCACCTATTACATAAGCAAGAGTTTCCTTTAGTTTGAAGTGCTGTGTTTAAACTATTTTTCCCCTTATGTTTCTGAAAATAATGTATCATCCCATGTTCCAGCAACTCTTCTGAGATTAGTGACAGTAGAATCAATGCAAACTGAGCATATTTGTGTCCCTTAAAAGGAACTGATGCTGAAAACTAAACTTAAAACTAATCCATTCCATGTCTTTTACTTGTAGCTTCCATCAGTGATGAACAGTCTAAACCATGGATTCCTTCACTAGCTGATGTGTCAGCTGTTTTTGTCAATATGGGTGTTGCGTTTAGATCTCTCTTTCCATTGCAGCATCTTCAGCCCAACTTTAACGAGTGTGATATTTTGTAAGTGTTTTCCTTTTGATATTTATTGCTTAGATCCAGTGAAATCTTGTGCTTAGAATGTAGAATCAGAAAGGTCTCCTGTTTTCTCCCCTTCCATCAAGCAATGCTCTTCTTTTAAATTCTAAACTCGGTCTTCGTAAGAGTAAATAAGCCAAAACTTAAACAGTTTCTGCCAGGTAAGGATTCAGCAAATCAGAGGATTGTTCTTTGTCCTATGGCTTCCTAGTGGAGATTTAGGAGAATTGTTGCCTAGAAGACTGGGCACAATTATAAGCAATTGATTGCAAGTTTTGCATAGATGTCTGTGCTCTGTAACTGAAGCTGTTTCTGATTTGAAGGCATTTTAAAACATACAGGGTTTTTTTCTTCAGTTTAATGCAATTAAGCTTTTGTGGTCTTTCTAACGGTTAATTTACTAATCAGATTAGCCTCTCTTTTATTAGAAGTCACATGCAAGAAACAGTGAGTAAAAAACAGCTAAGAGGAGATCTCATCACTGCTGGTCCAGCCTTCTCCACTCTACCAGAAACCAATCTAATTAATGTGATCAAGGTGAGAAATCTCAAACTCCAGTTACTGTGCAAGCTTTCTGTTTTGTTTTGTGGGTTTTTTTTTTTTATTTTTGAGGGTGTTTTTTTTTGACAGTAACCCTAGTCCTTACTCCAGTCCTGGGCATGTTTTGTGAGTAAATGCTATGTTGAGATTTCAGCTTCTCATACAGCAGAGCTTATTGCTTCTCATACAGCAGAGCTTATTGCTTCAAACTTGAGTTTGCCGTCTCCCTGATTTTGGCTGGCTTCACTCCCATTTGCACTGTTCTGCTGTTTCCCTTTTCCTGCTGTGGCGCTCTATTGTTAGACTCCCCTGAGTTGCTTTAGTCCCTAATGTGGAAGCAACTAGTCATTTGTCTGTTCCAGCGGAAGTGGGAAGGGGAATTGATCTTGGCTTGTATGTTTTGCGCTGCCTCAGTGAGTTAGGAAAGCTCTCAGAGGTGTGATCTGTGCCTGTGCAGCACAAGGTGAGTGAGGTGGGAGCTCGTGGAGGGCAGGTGGGAGCCTTTTGAGAAGGTGAGCTGTTAGATCCCTGCCCTGTCCTGTGACCATAGGCTGAGTGTGTGCTGGTTGCGCTTCACAAGCTACTTCTCCTAGATTAAAGGTCTTGTGGTGAAAATATTGACTGTATAACCAATTTCAAACTTCCTTTTTTTTTTTTTGGGTGAGATTTGTAGCTATAAAATCACTAGGTTCAGGAGGAAGTGCTTGGAGGATTTCTGCTAGAGACGGAATACAAATGTATCTTGGTTAATTTGTGATCTCATTTACACACACGTTCCATATACTATATTTGTAGGTAACCCTTATGATAATACTAGAGTGGGGAGAAAATTCTTGATGGTTGTTTTCAGTATTGCTTGTATAGCTAGGAAGTCTGTCAGCAGTCTTTCGTCCAGTTAAAATAAGGTTATCTGTACAGTGGCGAAAGATGGTTTCGTGTTTGTATATACAAATTCCCAGAGAATATTGCCGCTGTCCAAAAGCACTTCTCTAGATAGTTGTAAGATAAGCTTCCAGGAGGTGGTTTAAAAAAAAGGAGGGGGGAAGGGGAGAAGTGCAAGCCATTACTGGGAGATGGGGGGATATTTGTTACGTGAGAGCATTGCAAAAACAATATATCATTTGAAATGCATCTTAATTTTAAGGTGGAAAACGTAAGTTCTCATCCTACTTCAATAAAGGCTAAACCAGTTTTAGATTTTAATGCTTCTTCAAATTTCTTTTAAAGTTTCTAGGCTTTTGTACAACAGTATATCAAGGTGGATATACTGATCAAGAAATACTGCTGCTGCTTCTATCACTGTTTAAAATAAGCTTGGAGAAACAACTAAAGCAAATTCCTTTGATAGATTTTCAGTGCCTTTTCATAAAGCTTCTGAAAAGTATAAAAGACTGGGATACAAAGGTAACTTCATAATTAATTTTGTAGTACTAAATATAAAAATTGCAACTTTGAGCAATTACTGCTTTGAAGTTTTCATTCATAATGATGAACCTTTTGGGGTAAGTGGGGAGAGGTATGGGGGATTTTTTTGTGTATTTGTTTTTGACGTATCAAAAATACTGCTGGAAAATGTCATGTGAACAAATTGGGAGCTCTGAACGTATGTGATCTCGAGTGCAGATGGGCTTACTGAGAAGGGCTTTGCCCCATGCCATTGTGCTTTAGCGAAATTGCTACATGTTTGAAATGGCTCTTTCAAAGAGTGAAGCAAGTGGTTGGGCTTGTTACTTGTCATAAAAAACAAAACCAAACCAAACCTGATCTTAACTATCCTGTAAAATAATATTTGGCAGGCTTAACTACAGGTGCAGTGCAGAAAAATCTTGATGCACATCATGTTTTATTAGCCCAGTTCCTTTTAATATTTATGCTGTGTATGTTTCTAGGGAGTAGATGTGTACTCCTTTGCAAATAAAGCAACTGCCCACTATACCCCTTTTTTTTTTTCCAGTAGTTTTAGATTTTTTTGCTTTTCTTCTCTTAAAGATGCCTGAGCTCTGCCTGGCAATGAGTGAACTCTCTAGTCAGCACCATAATCTCCTGTGGCTGGTTCAGCTGGTCCCTAGCTGGATAATACGTGGAAGGTAATGACACTTTAACATCAGAAGTATGTAGTATCGTTAGCATTTAGTTTATTTGTATAAACCTGAAGTCAGATAAATGCAGGAGGTATTAAATGGTGCTTTAAAAAAAGTGTTTGCATTTTCTCATATCTTAGGGAAGTATGTGCAATCTTTTTTTATCCCATATATGCCATCTTAATCTCTACTGGATTATTTTATCTACAGAGTTATTTTGCACTTCAGCCTACATACTACGTAGCTTTGGGGCTGCAGACATCCTAGAATCCTATAGTAAAGGGTTCTACTCACACTTTTGCCTGAATGACCCATAAATTAAATGTTATGTGATTCATGTCCACTGTTAAGTGTTGATCTGTTGTGAGTTCTGTGTCCTGGAGAGGAAAATCATCTGGGTCCTCAGCTCCGGGGTTGGAGGCAAGCATCTAACGGTGTTTGCCTGTGCACAAGAAAAGCTGCAATGAGATGAAGGTACCTATGTCTTGCTAGCCTCTTTACTAGTTCTGTAGCACCTGTATTCAGAAAACACAACTAATTTGTTCTAGGCAAGCTTATGTCTAGGGAAGCCATGTATAGCCTCATAACGCTTTGTAGAAAAAATGTGGATTTGAGACATTCTCTGGGGAAAAAAAACTTAAAGAAGTTTATTTTTCAGGCAAGTAAGAAGACGACTTAGCCTAGTGATAATTTCAAAGTTTCTTAATAAAAAGCATATAAGAATACCCGATACCAGTGATGAGCAGGTAATGCATATATGTCGTGTGCATGTATATGTAATTTACCTCAGAGTTTTGAAGTATGTTGGAATGGGAAGGGTACTTGAGAGTTTAGAAAGCGTATATATAACTGTGTTTGAATGTATTTTATGTCTTAATACTGTAAGCCTATTTTCCCACTTAAGAACCTTGAAAAATATCAGATTAGTAACTTTTTAGTTCTGATTAGTATCAGAAGTATGTTTACACATACGTTTAACCTGTGTGCTCTGTAGTTTTTAAGTGCAGTGTTACGGGTGTGCCTACACACTCATTTTGGACATGGGAAATAGTCCCGTGCTTCTCTTTGTCTTCCTTTTGGTTTTCTATAGAATCACTCTTTATTTCCTTAGGGTTAGTGTTTTAATAAGGCAACGCACAAACACTGGAATTCGTGAATAGTCAAAAACTACCTGGAGCATGAAAACCTCCATTTTGATTAGAAAACTCTTGTAAAGATGTTCTTGTCTTAGTGGACAAATAATATTGCAGTGGCACTCTGTATCAGATTTTCCAGTGTCAGTAGACCAGTCCAATTTCTTGAGATGTTTGTTTTATCCGTAGATGTCTCTTCTGCGTCAGTATCTGGTGCACATGAAACCTTCTAGTCTACTAAAGAGGACGAGAGAAGGATTAGAGCAGCAGAATGATGTCAGTGGAGAGCGCCTTCATACAGAGCTAGAACAGCAGGTATATCATTAATAGCAGATTTTTGCATTTGTCTTTTTATGCATTTTCCAAAATTTTGAGAATGTTTCTTTTAACTTCTGTTAGTTGTTTAAAGACAGTTCTGAACATAGAACGGCTTACAGTATTTTGCAGTTATCTTGCTCTTCATTTGTATAAGTTAAAAATATTACCCATGTTCCATTTTGCTTACAGTCATGGAGGAAGGAAAGAAACGGTATATGACAGGAGAAGCTGTGTTAGGTTGTGTTACAGTCAAATTTTCCATGTGGCTAAGTCACCTGGATGTCTTCATTCCTGTCTTCTAACCATTCTGTAATCACAGGACCATCTTTACTCCCTTCTGATGTAATCGGGGGGGGGGGACTGATAGATGTGGGGCCAGACTTTCCACCTACAGGCTTCAGAATAAGATAACTGCATGAGTCTTTTCTTATAAATCCGTACTAGGAAGGTAACCTGGTAAAGATTTAATATTTTATTAAGTTAAATTTATTATTATTAAATCGGGTGTTAGTTTGTTTCTCTGAGTCTACCAAGAAATCTCTTAGCAAATATTTTGATCTAAATGTAGAAGACGGGAAAATAAAGCCAACTGGTAAATTTAATTTTCAGTAATTAAAACTACAGAAGGATTTGTAGGTAACTTAGGTAACTCAAAACAGTGTAATACTGTTTTAAAATTTTACTTACAGACATCTAAATATACTATTTCAAATTAGTTTTTTTAGGCAAATGGGTAGATGTACATGCCCGTTGAGTTGGCCTTGGAGGATGCTGGTAGGGGCATAACATTGAATCATTCTGGAAAGCAAGAATCATGCTGCATTTAAATGTGAACAGTTAGGTTTGTGCTTTGAATGCTAAAGTTCTGCTGATTTCTCTTCAGACGTACTACCTAATCTACATCCTCCTTCATCTAGTCAGTGAAGCTAGTTTCTTTGACGTTGTAAATTCTAATCAAAGGGTAAGTAATTTTGGCTAGATCTTTAGACTTAAAAGACTAATTATCATGTGGTTTTGGTCCATTTTGGTAAGAGCTATCATGTGATAAGAGATCACCAGAGGATACCAGCCCCGGGGGAAACTTCTGTTCAGAGGCAAAATGAATATAGAAAACCTCTTTTGCATTTTTGCAAAATGGAATGTTGTCGAAACGTAAGGCTTTGAGTCAGAGGACATATATTTTGTTATCTTTCTCTGAAAGTAACTGCAGATTAACTTGATGCAGAAATTCTAAGAGCTCCAAAGATCCTGTGGACTTTCTAAATTGAGTTGAAATTTTGCAATCTGGAAGAAAAACACTTTGAAAATATCTATTAAAACATGCTCAAACGCACCAACGGTTTTCTTTAAGTACACAGCGAAGTATGGTTATGTGGAGGAGTGCAGCCGTGCATCAAGTGAAGACTAAGACTGTATCTCTTCTAGTCTCTGTAGTGACGATAGCTCCCTTGCACCATCTCATGTGAACATCTGTTAACTGATATCACCTTTTTAACCTTTCAGTAATTCCATAAAAAGCCTTTCTGTAGCCCTGTTCAGACCTCTCTGATCTTTTGCAGTGAGTTGCTTGCTGCAAGGTGTTTGTGTAAATCTTCTGCCCCATGGAACTGCTCCTGGCTGTTAAGAAATATGTCTGTCCTATGAACTCTTTAAGAGAGAGGCAAAGTAGTAATCCTTGTTTATGTTTTGGGGCTTAAGCGTCTCTTTCCTACTCAAGTGCCAAAAGATTATTATAGACTATAATCTGAAACAAAACTATCTTTGGTAAAGAAAATAATTCTATTGTGATGGTGGTCTGAAGTTTGGGGGTTTTGTTTTTTTTTTTTTACGACTGTCTCTCTGAAGTTTGTGGAGAACTTGGTAAGAAAAGGAGAAAGTGATGTCTTGCTCTTTCTTTGAGAAGAAATTCCCTCTTAGTCATTGACTTGGTAACCAAATGAAAGGAAGTGTGTGGCTGAACTGAACAGTAGGTGAATATTGTGCAGGCTAAGCTTTGTAAAAGTCTGTATTACTGTTTCGGTACTGGTCCCCTGCCGATTGGATGGGTAAATTGTTGTGTTCTTGAGACACTGACAGAAGTTCACAAGTAGAATTTCGGTGTGTTTTCCCTGTTCTACAGAATGGAGCCTCTTTACAGCTGTTGAATGAGGGATGGAAAACAGGAGTTTTATGAAGAAATTGACAGAAAGTCAGAGATCTTGGGATCTGTTATTAAGAGATTCTGAAGTTGCAAAAATGCTTTATAAAAGTCATCAGAAATGTAGAGAGAAATAACAGGCCAGTGCATATACCCTGGATATGTTTTACCTGCTACTCCAGTTCCTGCAGACTGCAGCAGAAATAACCTGAAAAGGTTATTTTTAGCTGTTGTAACTTCAGAACGTTTTTCATTGAGAAAACATTTGAATGGTACTGTTCTTGCTACTTTAGGGGCCCAAGGCTCTTACAGCTTAGCTAGTAGGAACTCTAAAATTTGTGATGCGTAACTCTGATACAACTGGTGATTTTTTTTTTTTTTTAAACTCTTAGACATGGTTTACCAGGTGCATATCAGCAACTGATAGAAGATCTTGTGATCAGTTTTTTTTCCTTTTCCCTGTTCCTCAGTGTATACTTTGGAGAAAATTTTGAACAGAAGCATGTAGTTTTTAAATTGAAATAATATTTGAAGAAAGCTTTTTAGTTGCAACATGAAGGATTTAAAAAGCTGTACGTTTTTTGTCTTTATTTAGCAACACTTACTGAAGCTTTGTGGTGCCTTAGATAAGCACATAAAATGTGATATTAGGGAAGATGCGAGGCTATTTTATCGAACTAAGGTAAGTTGTTGTTGGGATATTTTTTTTAAAGTGTTCTTGATCTGTCTTGATCCCTCATCACAATGCTAGAAGTTCTATGAATTCCTCACAGGTTTCTTTTTCTTAGTTTCTGCATCATGCCTGTACAGCTACATAAATATGCACCCATTTTAATATACTGAAAATACTCTTATTACTATTGAGACACTGACAACTGTAAAGTCTGCTTATTTTCCTTTTAGCCCAGGCATCTTGACTTTTAGGACTCACACAACTGCCCCTTTTCGTTTCCTGGTAGTTGATGATCCTTAAGGGAAGCAATCTTCTGCTTTTAAGAGCAGAGGCTGTATGCAGGGCAAGATAAACAAGACTGAGAAACCAGCCTGATTCTCTCGCATGTTTATCTTACTCATTGTTTTAAAAATAAATAAATAAAAATGTTTTGGATTTAAGCCAATGCTATGCGACGTAGCATCAAGCTTGGATAATTGTCTTTCATTTGCTTTGTGGTATGGGACTTGCTAATAATAGTCCTAATTCTATGACTTTCACGCTTTACGTGCTGTTGTAGCAAGCCATGTCAGATCAGTTAAGTGACAGACCTAAACTTTGAAAAGCCTTGGCTTTTTCAACTTTAAATCAAACATTTGCACTTATGTGCCTTCTTACCGCTCAAGAAGGACTTTTTTTTTTTTTTTTAATTCAACTGAATTAGTAGAGCATGGGTCCCCTTTACAGGTTAATGAATCTTACCTTGAATCTTTGTGTCCCGGTTCCCTGCCTCTTCTCTTTCTATTGCCCTTGTGCTGGAAGGGGAAAATCCATTCTCTGTTTTCCCCCGGTCACTTCTTTGTTTGTATGATAGTACAGTCGCTTCCAGAGGGCACCACTGTGCTGGTTTTTATACAGCATATGAAACAAATCTTAGTTCTGAATGGCTTGTATTAAACACCTGCTTGTAATTGGTTATGAAAAGCACAATCCTATGTATGAGGAATTCCTTTCGGAGGCAGGTAGTGCTGCGTAGTGGACAACTCTTCCAGTTGTGAACTGTCAGGCTTCTGTAACAAACCTGACTTACCTGAAGGATGAGATGGGTGTTTAGAGACCAGAGGCTTGCATGCTGCTTCTGAATGCTTACATAAGAAATCATCTGCCTGTAATGTGTTCGTGTGGAAGGGCATGACTTTAAAAGTCCAAAATTCATGGATGTGGTAGGAGTTGAGGTGGTGGTAGTCTGCATGCTAGTTCTAAAACTGTTCCCTCCCAGTAAATATTGGGAGAGGAGTTCATTCTTTCTTTCTTTCAAGTGGCTAAACTAATCAATCTACGTTTGCAGGTAAAAGACTTGGTTGCTAGGATATATGGCAAATGGCAGGATATGATACAAAACACTCGGCCTACTCAGGTAATGTAGTGAAACCTTTTTCTATTTTCCTATTGCAAGGTGCATTTTACTCATTTCTTAGCGTTTGAAAAACAGTAGTCTTCAAAAAATTTTTGCTTCATAAATAGTGTGGCTGTGGAATACACTCCACGTACGTATGTGTATGGTGTACGCCATACACATATTGGTGTAGTCTGTTGAAATTCTGTCTTTGACTTTGGTGAAGAACAGGATTTCATCTTATCTTTAAAAGTGCTGTTTTTTATAAATGGCGACGTAACCCCCTAAAATGCTAGCACTGAATCAAATCAAAGCACCTTTCTCTGATTGCCGTCATTAGCAGATGCTTTGGAAAGGAGTTTGAGTGTGGCATGAGTGTAGTGATGTACTTTCTGCTATTGCCTAGCAGTATGAGACTTGGAAACCACCTGAGTCACAGGTTTTGTCTACCTTTGTATTTAACAGCCCTTGATGATCCTTTTTCTTCTTTGAATGTGTCTAATTTCATGCACTGATTAGGAAAACTCTTTCATGCTCTGTAAAGGTATGCAATAATAAATAATTACATGAGTAGTCTTGCAAAAGTATTTGCTTTCATGACATCTAGCTGGCTTTGGAATAGGTGGATAATCCCTACTGATAGCCAGGGCTCAGAGCTGTTTGTAGCAGTTTAGAGTTGGTGGGTTTCTTTCTTAATGTGATCAGATTCCATCTGTTTTAAGTCCTGTCCTGGAATGTAAAGTTACCTGTCTTAAAATAAAATTTTGCTCATCTTTCTAGTAATCTAGTACATCTCTTACATAAAGTTTAAATAATGCACATATGCAAATTTTAACTGAAATTAAGCATAATTAAACATTGACTGTAGAGCATATTAATCGTTCTCAGCAGTGAGCAAAAAATAATCATTTGTAATGTGGGGAAGGTTTCTTCTTCTAGAGCAGGGAGGGAGTTGGATAGTAGTAGCATATGGTTGCAGAAGCTGCTTACCAGTTGATGAAAACTGTTAATGATGCAACTGTGTTAAAGTTGTTTTTTCAAAGATACTCAGGTTTGATTCACACGTGGGGAAACTGGCTGTTCACTGGCAAGTGTTTCCAGATGGAGTTCTAAGGGACCTGCAGCACAGCACAGGGATCTCAAGCTAAAGAGTTGCCTGTTTTACTCTCAAGGTATCTTTTGGTTTTCTGAGTTGTTTTCTATTTTGTTTTTACCCCTTAGGGAAAACTGCATGATTTCTGGGAGCCAGATTTGTGAAACCTTGCCTAGTTCGGGGAAAATAACAGAAAATTTGAACAAGGATCTTTCCTGAAGCCAAGGAAGAGGTAGAATGAATGGAGCTACGCCTTGGTTGGAACAGAGGAAATCAGAAACCTGAATTAAACCTTGAGCTTGATTCAGGCAAATACTAAAAACAGCTATACAGTTTGGTTGGAATTGCATTTATTACAAATATGCTACTTCTGAAAAAATGAATGTGGTAAAGTGGAAGAGAAAAAAGCAGCTCTTTCTATAGCCCTGACTGAATTAGTCTGTAATTTTTTTGATCATATTGAAAGCTGAGGGAAGTTTTCTCATTTGATTTCATTGTTAATCACCAATACATAAATTTTTCAGAAATGTCTTATTTTCTTGCCTGCATGAACCTGTGTGAAAGTTTTGGTTCAGCATGACTAGGAAAGAGACCTGCCCCGTAAAATGAAATGTGAGTTCTCAAACGGTATTAGGTACCTCCTGTTGTGAGCAGGTGAGGAAATAGTTCAGAAGTGGGCTGAATAATGGAGTTGCCTGCACACGTTCATCTGCAAAGCAGAATTGGCGTGACCATCCAGTGTCTTTAAATAATGCAAAATACAGCAGTTGTATGTGAGCAAATGACTGTCCTCTTGTTTGCTTGGGTGGAAGCAGAGCTGAACAGTGCCTGTGCCCCAACGGGTTAGTTGGATGATGCTTTGCTCCATGGTTGTGGTTTATCAGATAACGAAACAGAATTTTTCATTACAGCGATGCATTCATTTTAACTTAACTTCCTCATCTTCAGGCATTAGTTCATGCGGTGAATATGACTGTGCAGGAGGTGATTCTGTAAGACCGTATTATGAACGAGATTGTTAGATGGGTGGTATTGTTGTACTGCTCTTTAAAGATACAAGTTTACCTAGATTTGTTACCTGGCTTCAGCACCTGTCTTTAAATGGAGGAAGTACTACTCCTAGAATATCAACCCAATGGAGATTTGAGGAGATGAGCATTTGGCCCATATGTGTAAAAATAACTGTGAAAGCCATATGAGGTCTGAAATCTTTTGTGCCAAGTGTTGTCACATATGCAATGAGTAATCGAAGCTCCAAGAGCTGTTTGTGAAATAATCAAAGGAAAACGTGGTCTCCTTTTGTGCTTTCTGTGCAAATGCCATCATGTAAATCTTGCACTGTGTTTTGTCTGTAGGATGTGTGTATATATGAACAATAAGTTAAGATATTGGGTAGAAGCACCAGCTGGGATTCCCTTTAAAAGTGAGATTTTTAAATAATAGCTACATGCGCATTTTATAATACTATTTCCTTTTAATTTTTGTAGATTACCCTGTCTTGTCTTGTATGATAGACTCACAACTTTTCAAAACGAGAAGGTAAAATAAAGCTCAAATTTAAAAAACAAACAAACAAAAAAAACCCACTCCAAACTTAGGTATGTACATATTATGTATAAAGGAGCATAGGGAAGGTATTTTATTTGCAAATTCATACTAAATGTTTTGTCTTTCATTTCAAGCGTTAGTGAATTAGCCTAAAACCGCAGCATCTCTGTACCCTTCTTCACAGGATAATCAGCTTATCTTTGTTAGAACAAGACTTAGGCTGAGGGGTATATTCAGAAAGAAAAAAAACCCCTTTTTTATCTCAACGTGTCATTTAAGAATTGGAAGAACCTACCTCAAATGGTATCTTTGTTTGGCAGTAGAACTGCTTTAAGCTAAATTACTTGGTGTTGTATAGGGATGGCAATGCCATCCTCTGCTCTGTCTTTGATAGTGTATCAACCTCTTCCCTGGAAGCAGTTGGTTACTGTGTGAATATATTGTATGTAATTTTATTAATGTTTATATTTTTCTCACTAACATTGTATAAAGTTTAAAAAAAGTACAGAATGTTTACTGTATCTAATGTGTATATATTTTCTTACTATGTAAAGCTAAAGTTACTGTCTTGTACATTGTGGAGAAGGAAAGGGGTGAGGTTTAGATTAACAGCTTTTGTATTGCAATTCAAAGCACACTGAAACTGCTGGTTTTTTTCCCCCTCCAAACTAAATAACCACTTTGAAATTTCTTTTATTTAATACACCAATGAAAAATAAAGAGACATGCTTTTCTAATTAAGTATCTCTGCATAAAATGGGCATGCATCAACTTCTAGTTCACAAAAATGGCTGCAGGTCCTATTTCAGTCTTAGTGTGGCCATTGTAGTTCTTAGCTGATTCACAGTTCACTGCTGATTAGCTTACTATAAATGGAGAAAGTCTTGAAGTAATTCCTAGCTCAGCCAGTTCTGTGTTTTCCTGCTTAATGCCTCTGTATATATTCTGGCATTTTCCCCTCTCTCTGCTGCTCCCAGTTACTCCAGACTCTCTTCCGTCTATCTTGTAGTTGACTAATAATTCCCCAGCTGCTCAAGTCTGGACCCTGGTGCCACTGGAGCCCATCAGCATCTTTACAGAGATGATCCCAAAGCGTTGCTGCAGAGTTTCACAAGGGACTGCTGAGCTGAGTACTGCTTCAGGACTCCTGGAAATGAAATAGCAAACTTGTTGCTGTTGTGTTTTGCTGACTCATTTACTGGCCCCCAGCCAGAAGTTACATGTATTGAAAAAGGCTGATTGCACAGTAAATGTCTTAACTACTTTGGTTGTCTTCAGATAAGCATTTTGCACTGAGGTTTATCTTTTGATATTATGCTAGCTGTATTAAGAGCCATGTTATCTCATTTCATGTGCAATTAGGTGCACTTTATTGCAGTAATCACAGTCCAGAAATTAAAGGCTAACTATAAAATATACATGTATGGTCTTTGTAATTTTTTTCTGACAAGCTTCTGTATGACTGTCTTCGGCTGAAAGAAACATGCCAGCAAAATTGTTTGCGCATCTCTTATTCTCACTGTTCCCATTGTGAACTGAGAAAGGGATGGGATTTCAGAAGTGATTAATGACTTGCAGCTAGGTCTGGCTGCAGGCCAATAGGACATGCATGCTTCATTGATGTAGTGGTTGCAGGAACTCTCTGAAGTCCCCAAAGCTGATAGTTGAGCTGCACTGGGAAGTGCGGATGACTCAAAGCATGCTGTTCTTGCGAGCAGGGTAGCTGGTAAAATTGCTACAGGATAGGATTTTAAAGGTAGTGGAAAAAGACCCTCTTTAGTAATGATGGATAGGGAGTGCAGTGTTCATTATCTGACACAGACAAGCCAGTTCTGACTTCATCAAAGGTGCCTGTGCTTAGCATCATCTAGCTGCCACCTCTGGGTCTTTAGAGATGCCCTAGCCCAGGGCAGACGCTAAGCACGTGGCCTGAGAAGGAGACTACGTTGTCCCTGGAGATTCAAGCAAATGCCTGCAGGTAGTTGTGTTACGCAGGGGAATCTTCTGCTGGCCCCCATCACTGGCAGGAGTTCATCACACCGCAGTGTTAACACTGGTCATGTATGCTTTCCTTCTCCTTTCCCGAGGAGGGGAATTGCATAGGCAGTATGGGGTTCCTGACTTGGTAGTTTTTCCTCTTCAGCTGGCTTTTAGCGTCTGCATAACTTTTCCACTGGAAGAAGCAGATCAGAAAGGGTGCTGCTGCAGATGGCCCTCCTATTTTTTCTGGCAGCTCTTTCCATCGTCTGACAAGCTCTTGAGAAACTTCCCATTCTTGCCCAAATATTCCCAGTGGAAAACACCCCCTTGTGCCTGAGGAACAGTTGTTGACACTGGAATATTAGTGTTTGTTTCAGTGCCCTGAAAAAGAGAAAAGAGTCTTAGGAGGAGAAGCCAGTCTGGGGAGCAGAGAACAGGTTTGATGAGCTTGTGGGAGTCTACAGAGCTGAGGAGAGCCACTGTGGGATCCTGACTTAATTAAAGCTTCCAGAGGGCTGTGCAGTTGCATACCTTGCCCTTGTTGAACGCAGCGTGGACAAAGGAGCTGCTCGGAGAGGTCAGACAATCATTAGTGGATTTAGTGCATTCCCTGTGGTTTGTGTTATCTGAACGCTCTTCATAAGGCTCAAAATATCATTTTCCAATCTTCCCCTGGGATGTGTGAAATACCTTGGTGTTTTGCCTTATGGATGCTTTGCCAGCTTAACTGATGGGACCCAATTTTATCTTCGTATTGAAAGGGACTTTCAGTGCTGGGAGGTGATGGGGGCTACTAATGGGAAGGTTGCCAGAGAAGGTAAATTCCTAGAAGCACTTCTCCTTACAGATTTGCTCTTTAGTTTTGTCTGAGTTCTGCTTCTTTCAGGCAATGTTTCTTCATCTTTGCATTAGGGAAATTGAGAGGGAATACTTAATCTTGTATCAAAGGTAGTGCTGGGCGGTGAGATAGAGGAAAAACGCTTCTGTCTTCCTCTCTTGGTATTTTGATCTGGGTGCTGACAGCTATTCCCCATGCTTTGTATCTGCAAGCTGTGTGCAGGAGCTGCCTTTCAGAATTTATTTTCATACGATCTTTAAGCAGGGTTTGGATGTGTTGTACCTTTTTGAATGTCTCCCCTACCACTGCATGGTTAGTGGTGTTTCATCTTTGGCTTTCTTGTTTCCCCTCTCCCCCCAGTTTCATGTAGGTGTTAAGTTAATAGGGAAGGGGATGGTAACTCGAAGTATTCCCTTGATGGTCATCAAAGTGTCTTAGTCTTTGCCATCGGCTTGCAGGGAGGCCTAAAGCTTTTTAAAGCAGGTTTGACCCATACGGTATGGAGGCGGGAGGGCTTCTGGCCACAGGATATGGGGCTATTTTCACACACCCTTTTCCCAGTGTTTTCCTTTGGGTTTTCATTCACCACTGCACCTGCTTGAGTCTGGGAGAGCAATGTTACTTCTGTGTTTCAGAGAAAAGCAGGGTAAATGGATGTTTGCTTCTTTTATATTACTGGGTGAGAGTCCTTCACTAGAGTAGCAAGTGCGGTGAACTGTGGCTTGGCTTAAAGGCTTGCTGGCATGGCAGCTTGCTCTCTGGCTCTCTTTTCTCAAATCCGGCTTAGAGATTAAAGGCCTGGCTCTAACAGCTCAGGCAGTAGCGGGAGGTCCATTTCCCTTCCGGGCTGACCAGCAGGCAGTGGTTAGAATAAAAATAATAGCATAAAGTTGTCAGGCTTGGTGGTGGAGAGGGGATGGCTAGGCACTAAGTTGCCTATTTCACACTGCAGGCTTTTGTAAAGGCAGCTGTGCAGGGCAGCTGTGGGCTCTTCAGACAGCATCCTTCGTGCTCTTACGTAGATATGTTGATCTGTGTGCTTGGAAACTCTGAATCTGTGTACTTTGCCTTAACCCAAGCTGTGGGGAAAGGCCTGGCAGATGAGAGCTGCTTAGCTGCTGCTGCACTATATCTCACTTCTCTTACACGTTCACTGAACGTTTCCTGCCTCCCCAGTGTACTAACCTGTTTTTTCAGTATTTGGGCTCCAGCATTGTTGTGATGAAGTCTGCACAGTCCAACGTGCTTTCCGTTCTGGTTGATTTTCTTTTATAGCCCATTTTTCTCTTGCCCTCATTCTGTTTTCCCCTGCAGTACATGAGCGCTGTTTCCTGCGAAACTGTGTCAGCTGTCCTCATTATTAAGAGTTTGGCAGGAGCGAGCATGGCAGTCATCTTGGAGATGACACTTCTAGTTTTGAACTAACAGTAACCTCAGGTGCTGCAGCACGTACTCGCTGCTGGGGACACGGGACTCCTCTCCTGCCGAGCAGGGGAGTGTTCTCATGCATGTGGGCCTGCAAGGAGCCCGGAAGTATCCCGGCTGGGTAAATCTCAGCCGAGGTATTTCAACTGTCTATATCCTGTTGAAAAATAGTTCAAGGCATGGTTAAGATGCAGGTTTATTCCTTTGGGAGGGAACCTTTGCGTGTGTGTTTGCGTGTGTAGGATGTGAGTAAAGCAAATTGCAGTCGCCTAAGTAGGCTAGATCTCTTCAGCCCGGAAATAGATAATAGGTGTAATGTGAGGGAGTAAGATGGAGAGCTTTAAAATCAGATGGCCTAAAAAAGGGTAAATAGAGAGTAGTTATTCAATGCCACTCTATAATTTGACTTCAGACTCTCTAGTTCTTTTAATAGCAGGAAGGCTCAAAGCAAACAAAAGGAGACAGCGGAGCTGTGGACCTTGCCTCAGGAAGCTGAGAATGCTAAAAGCTTAAAGGTTTAGAAAGTGTTTGGTGGCAGAACCATCCATCCAGGTCTACAAAATACAAAGTGCTGTAGAGAGATTTTAACCTGCAGATCCCTGGGGAGTGAGAGAATGTGCTGGGGAGGTTATCTCCATACCTTTGTCCTGTTATTGTGCCCCTCCAAGATGCTGGGCTTTTGGTCTGATGTGATGGGCTGCCTTTATATTTTAAATTGGCAGTTGAGGCCTTTTATGTCATGCAATCCCTTGCAGTTCCCAAACTCACCATTGTGTTCATGATTGTCTCCCTCCTTCCATTCCTGAGACAGAAATTAGTCTTTAAGGTGTTGCATGAAAGCCCTTGGTCAGAGGAACCTAGTGAGGTGTATGGGATCAAATGCTGTGCGTCACTTAGGAAAGCCCGAGGACTTTTTTGATCTTTGTAATGACACTGTAAGAGAGACTAAAAACAAAGGAACAAGTCTAACGGTTCAGGATTTCCAGTAGAACTCAGTAAAACCCAACGAAACACTAAAAAAGAGCTCCTTCCTCTCCCTTCCTTCCCCCATCCTTTAGATGTTTTCACCTGTTGGAGAAGTGAAAATAAGGGCATGTGAGGAGATTTTTAAAAAAAATTATTCTTATGTCGTACCTTAAGAACAAAATTCAGTGTTTTCTCTTTTTAGTTGCTGAGTCTCATTTGCCTCTTGGGGGCAACCTCACCCTGCTCCGGCTAAGAGTGTGGCTTTTGTCGTTGCAAAGACAAAAGGGAGTTAAATAAGCTTGGAAGATGATGACTCACTGTGTATCTCTCACTGGCTTTGCATTATCAGATAATTTTTGGTAACCAATGTTATTATTTGTTGAAAGGATTTAAGGAACGCTTTCAAGGTTGACCATTCCCTAGTTTTCATAAATGATCCAATTGGTTGTTGAAGGTCCCTTTCCAATCTTCTGAGTCCTACAATGCTTTCCTGCCCCGCTGTCCCTCACAGAGGGGAGGATGGCAGGAAAGGACTTGTGTTTTGCAGCTGCAGTTTAATGGATAGTGCATAAATCTGTGAGTGTAAGATTTACAGTGATTTCCCTGCTGTTCTTTTGCCCAGGATTCGTTGGACAAGTCGCTAAGCCTGTCAGTGCTATGGTTATTCTGGCTTGTATACAGGGGAGATAACAAACTGCTGGTCTTGCTCCATTTTCGTCCTGTGTTCCTGAGCAGACATGTCATACAAGCCCTGTCCATAAATAACTGTTTACGCTTATTTAAATGGTGTTGAAGTATATGGTGGAATAAAGGGAGTATTATTCATGCTTCGTGCTGTGGTTCCTAATGGCACTTTACACATTGATATGACCTACAAAGCTTGTTGTTTCGTGCCTGCAGTGCTGCAATATTCTTCTTACCCTAGGGGTCAGAAACGACAAGAATAAATGATCGTGACGGGTGTCTTGCAAATCTCTGCGCCCTCGCCTTGGAAGTGTCCTTGCAAAGGAGCAGCTTCATGACATTGCTGGAGCAGGCATGGGGGGACGCAATGTACTTGTCCAGTCGTGAGATGAGAATTGAGCAGCCTTCACGTGAGATCAGTTTATCAGTATTCCTGTTTCACATTTTCCCTGAAGCACATAAATGCAGCTGTGGCTGGGTAGGAGGGCTGGCCTGGGCCCAGCCATCCACCGTGCGCTGCATGCG